TTCCTTTCCAATTTGGATTCCTTTTATTTCTTCTTCTTCTCTGATTGCTGTGGCTAGGATTTCTAGTACTATGTTGAATAAGAGAGATGAAAGCAGACACTCCTGTCTTGTTCCTGATTTTAAGGGGAATGCTGGTAGTTTTTGCCTGTTGAGTATGATGCTGGCAATGGGTTTGTCATATATGGCTTTAGTTATGTTTTGGTATGTTCCCTCTATTCCCACTTTGCTAAGTTTTTAACATAAATTGGTGCTGGATTTTATCAAATGCTTTTTCTGCATCTATTGATATGATCATCCTTCATTTTGTTTACATGGTGAATCACATTTATGGATTTGTGAATGTGGTACCAAATTTGCATTCCCCAAGTAAATCCCACTTGATCATGGTGTATGATTTTTCTGATGCATTGCTGTATTCAGTTTGCTAATATTTTGTTGAGTATTTTAGCATCTATGTTTATGAGAGATACTGGCCTATAAGTTTCTTTGTAGTGTCTATCTGGTTTTAGAATTAGGATAATACTGGTCTCGTAAAAATGAGTTTGGGAACCTTTCTCCTCTTGAATTTTATAAATTAGTTGGAGAAGCAGAGGTGTTAGTTCTTCTTTGAATGTTTGGTAAGATTCACATGTGAAGGCATCTAGTCCAGGGCTTTTGTTTGTTGGGAGGTTTTTGATTACTGCTTCAATTTCACTAGGTGTTATCTGCCTATTCAGATTCTTTGATTCTTCCTCATTTAATTTTGGAAGATTGTATGTTTCTAGGAACTTATCCATTTCATCCAGGTTGTCCAGTTTGTTGGCACATAGTTGTACATAATATTGTCTTACAATCCTTTGTATTTCTTTGGTGTCAGTTACTATTTCTCCTCCGTCATTTCTTATTTTATTTATTTGGGCCTTTTCTCTTTTTCTTGATGAGTCCAGTTAAAGATTTGTCAATCTTATTTACCTTTTCAAAGAAGCAGCTCTTGGATTCATCGATCTTTTGTATTGTTTTTTTAGACTCTATTTCATTTGTTTCTGCTCTGATCTTTATTATTTCCTTCCCTCTACTTACTTTGGCCTTTTTTTGTTGTTCTTCTTCAAGTTCCTTTCAGTGTGAAGTTAGATTGTTTATTTGATCTTTTTCTTGTTTTTTTGAGGTTGGCTGTAATGCTATGAATTTCCCTCTTAGGATTGCTTTCCCATTGTCCCACAGACTTTGGAGTGTTGTGTCCTCATTTTCATTTGTTTCAAGGTATCTTTTGATTTCTTCCTTGATCTCCTTGTTAACACATTCATTGTTCAATAACATGTTATGTAGCATGTTTTCCAGTGTTCTTCTTGTGATTGATTTCTAATTTCATAGCATTCTGCTTAGAGAATGTTCTTGATATGATTTCAATTTTCTTAAATTTATTGAGACTTGTTTTGTGTCCTAACATGTAGTCTATCCTAGAAAAGTTCCATGTGCACTTGAAAAGTATGTATATTGTGCTGCTTTGGGGTGAAATGCTCTGGAGATATCAATTAAATCCATTTGATCTAGTGTATTGTTTAAGACCACTGTCTCCTTGTTGATTTTCAGCCTGGAAGATCTATCCATTGAAGTCAGTGGGGTGTTAAAATCCCAGACTATGACTGTATTTTTGTCAGTCTCTCCCTTTATGTCTATCAAGATTGGCTTTACATATTTAGGTGCTCCTATGATGTATGCATAAATGTTTACTAGGGGTATATCCTCTTGTTGGATTACTCCTTTATCATTATATAGTGTCCTTCTTTTTCTCTTACTATAGCCTTTGTTTTAAAGTCTGTTTTATCAGATATAAGTACTACTACCCCAGCTTTTTTTTTTCTTTTCCATTTTCATGAAATATCTTTTTCCATCCTTTTAGTCTGTGTGTATCTTTCAATCTGAGATGGGTCTCTTGGAGGCAGCATATATATGGGTCTTGTTTCTTATCCATTCAGCTACCCTATGTCTTTTGTTTGGATCATTTAATCCATTTACATTTAAGCTGATTATTGATAGATACATATGTAGTGCCATTTTATTGTTAGACTGTTTTACTTTATTTTTCTTCTTTTCTTCTTCTCCCCCTCTTCCTCCTCTCCCTCCTCTCCCTCCCCCTCCTCCCTCCCCCTCCTCCATCTCCCCTTCCTCCTTCTCCCCCTCCTCCCTCTCCTCATCCTCCTCCTCCTCCTTCTTCTTTTTCCTTCTCCTTCTCCTTCTCCTCCTCCTTCTCCTGCTTCTCCTTCCTTCTCCTTCAAGCAAGCCCTTCAACATTTGTGGCAGTGCTGGTTTGGTGTTAACAAACTCCTTTAGCTTTTTCTTGTCTGTGAAGCTCTTTATTTCTCCTTCTATTTTAAATGATAACTTTTCTGGTAAGTTTGCCTTGATTGTAGATCCTTGCTTTTCATCACCTTGACTATTTCATGCCACTCCCTTCTGGCCTGAAATGTTTCTGTTGAGTAGTCAGATGATAGTCTAATTGGTGTTCCCTTGTAACTACCAGCTTTTCCTTTGCGGCTTTTAGGATTCTCTCCTTGTCTTTAAGCCTTGTCATTTTATGATATGTCTGGGTGTAGGTCTCCTTGGACCCAATTTTTTTGGGACTCTCTGTGCTTCCTGGACTTGTGTGTCTTTGTCCTTCAACAGATTGGTGACATTTTCAGTCATTAATTCTTCAAATAGGTTCTCAATCCCTTGCTCGCTATCTTTTTCTGGTATTCCCATGGTGCAGATGTTGTTCTGCTTCATGTTGTCCAAAATGTTCCTTAAGCTCTCCTCATTTTTTTTTTAATTCTTTTTTCTTTTTGCTGCAATGCCTGAGTGTTTTTTTCTACCTTGTCTTCCAAATAACTTATGTGATCCTCTATTTCATCTAACCTACTGTTTATTCCTTTCAGTGTATCATTTATATCAGATATTGTATTCTTTATTTTTGACTAGTCCTTTTTATGTTTTTTATGTCTTTTTTCATGCTTTTCAGTATCCTTAAAATCATTACTCTAAAATTTCTACCTGATAAACTGCTTACCTCCATTTCATCTAGATCTTCTTCTGGAGAATTTCCTTATTCCTTCTTCCGGGATCTGTTTCTTTGTCTTCCCATTACTAATCAGTTGTCACACTGATCAGTTGCTAAATTAATCAAACTGTAATCAGCAGCTTAAGCTCCACTGGGCATGGCAGAGTAATTCCTGTTGGGGGGACTCTTGCTTCCCCTCAGGCTGATGCCACTTGGAGAGTATTGCTCTGCCTGAGAAGGATGGCCTCTGCCGTAGAGGGGATGACTCAGCACAGGGAACATAGAGGCTGTTCCTTCAGTTCTCTCCCTAGAGCCACCAACCCCAGAATCTCTTCAAGTTTCTCCAGTCCACTCCGTCCTCCCTGTGCCAGAATCCAGGGTAAGTGGCTGCAAATGAAATTGTGTTCATTTGCCCTTTAAGAGGCTGAGTCCCCAGTAGTCTCTCCTTGGCAGACAGAAACCCTGCTGCTTTTCACAGCTGGATGTTATCTGGATCCTTTTCTGGTTCTGATGTTGTAGACTGGGGAGCCCAGCTTAAGGTTTAGATCCAACACTTCTCAGGGGAACCTCCAGCCAAATGTCATGAGTATTTACATTCATTACTATGCTCTATCTTTATTTCCTACTTTATTTATTTCCTATCTTTATTTCACAACTCTGGGCACGAGAAATACTACATTCCTTTATTTTGCTAAATCGAACAAAATTTGTTCTAAGCCCCCATCCTCCCATATTAGAGGAAAATTTAATCTCATTCTCAGTCTACAGAGTCCTGATTCTAATCTGATTGCTCTGTGAAGTTATTAAACAGCAATTCCTTAGCGATACCTATAAGTAACACTGTATAAATCATGTGGTTAACACAAAGAAATGCATAAACACAGTTCCTGTGTGTTAGGAATTAATAATCACATTAGGGATTCAATATATATATATATACATAGGAAGCTTAACAACAGGAACGGAATCGTAATTTTTAAACATCACAAAGGGATGGGTATTAAATATAACATTATGTGCTACTGGTTGAGAGGGGAAAGGGCACCACTGTGTGCTGGAATAATGGGGGATCACAGTCAGATGGAACTTTTTACCTGGCCCTTAAGCACAATAAGATGCTAATACGTAGAGAGGGGATTCCAGGTATGGGAAACATCCTGAGCAAGGCTTAGAAGTAAAGGGACAAAAGTTATGCTCAAGGCCCAGTGATCTGGGCTCACAGGAACAAAATGTTCATATTGGGGAACTACATGAGGCCAGGATTAGGGTGAGTTTGGATTTTATTCTGTGGTTTTGAATTTGAGGTTGAATTTTATCCTGTAGTGAATGGCAAGTTATTAAAGGATTATGAGCAAATGATACAAGTCTGATGAATTAGACCTTAGAAAGCCACTGAAACAAGCCAAGTATGAAGAGGGTAGGGAATGAAAAATAATGACCTTATCAAGAAAAAAAGTCAACACTGCCTTGCTCATATTGCTCCAAGAATTTGAGCCTCAGTGACTGTGAAGTATTGGACCAAAAAGGGGATGACAATTTTTAGAATACAATGATCATTTTAGAAAGAAGTTGAATTATTGTACCAGCTAGTGATATGTATGATTAAAGTCTCACAAGTTCACTGAGAAAAATAATGCGAAAAGAGAAAAGCAAAGCGTCATGCGCTGACCCCAGGCAGCAACTGGAGCTGTGGGTCAGAATGAAGTCACTGTAGAAGAGAGAGGGGCGAAAGTGGGAGAACTAGTTAGACGTCATGGTGGCCATTGGAGGGGCACCTTCATAGACTTGTGATTCCTAGCTGGAATAAAAATGCCATGTAGAAAGGACAAGAGTCAGGCCAAAATTTTCAGTGATTTTAATGATAAGGTATTTCTAAATCAAACTTTTATAAATACAAAAAACTTAAAAACATTAAATACAGTTCCATCTGAATGATTACAAAGACAAATCCTATTCTAAATAGACTGTATGAACAAATTGCCGTATGATACAAATTATCCTATACTAGAAATAGCAGATTTGACTTAGTCCAAACTCAGGTTTTTAGAAACTATCCTCTTTAGAAATACAGTTTTTATGCAACATTTAATTTTTCCACTTGTCATATTTTATTTTCAATGACACATCTAGTTTTTGTTTTTCTAAGCATTATTCCATACATTTTTAAAGCATATTTTATTTCAGAATGCAGTAGAAATGGGCTTTTGGCCTAGGAGGCCACTAGGAAGGGCATTTTTTATGCCATTGCCTGACTCCTTGGACTGTTTGTCATTTCTCCACACTTGCCAGCTTACCTGCTGTTCAAAACTGGGATGAGATATCACAGTTTACTTCTGTCTGAACAAGTACCAAGCTGAAATTCAGATGGCTCAACAATGTATTCTGATTTTGGTAACCAATTTTAAATCCTGCTAGAGAATTCTCAGTAGAAGTAGAACTAATGAACAAGATTAAAAATGGGAAGCTGTTACAGTTATATTTTTTTTATAAGCCTAAAAGCATTGTGGTATGTTTCAGAGCTGCTTCCTCCACAAATTTTGCATCCACGTTGTCATGTCCTTCAAAACCATACAGAGCTGGAAAGAGAGACAGCAAGAAAGAGAAAGAGTTACTATGAAGCAATGCAACATTTATAATGTTGTGCACACAGCTCTTTGAAATCATAATTATTTTAAATTTTAGTAAAACCCTCTATTCTGAGAATATGTTAAAATTTATTAAACCTCAGAACCAAGAAAAGCCATTTGCATCAACCAAATGGGTGTTTAACCCATAAAGTTAACATCTTAGACCCTTTTAAAACCTCAGAAGTGGTTATTCCTTTGGTAATTTACTCAATGTAAATTGTATATTGCTAATTAAAATCAATTGCAATAAAGACCTACTTATAAATAAAGGGCATTGTGGCAAGAAAAGGGCACAGAGAAGTAAATAGAGACTGACTGACATGTCAAGGGTAAAGCAGGACAGCCCTGGCTGGTGTGGCTCAGTGGATTGAACACTGTCCTGCAAACCAAAGGGTCACTTGTTCGATTCCCACTCAGGGCACATGCCTGGGTTGCAGGCCAGATCCCCATCTGAGGGCCCATGAGAGGCTACCATATGTGGATGTTTCTCTCCCTCTCTTTCTCCTTCCCTTCCTGTCTCTCTAAAAATAAATAAACAGAATCTTTTAAAAAAGAAAAAAGAAAACAGAACAACTCTTGAGAACAGAGGAGTGAATTACCTTGATTGGAGGATTCTATATCTGTCAGAGTTTCAATGAAGTAGTTCAGAGGAAGAAATTCCACACTGAATGATGCCTTGTCAATCACAGAACTCTGAGGCTAAAAAGGAAACCACTTCTGGTATTAGTTGATTATCTAAAACGAGCACAGATTTTTTTAGAAAAATGGTAAGAGCTACAATTGCTGCCCATATGGAAATGCTGAAATGCGCAAATAGGATAAAAAAAAAAAACCATTTAGTGGTTTCACACTGACTCACCTGTTTCCTATAGTTCTGAAGCAGTCGCTTCACATGTTTCCGGGAAATAATGTTAGAACTCACAGGATGATCCCAAAGTCGACAGATCTTCTGACCGATAAGCTATTATACAAAATAAAAAATAGGTCAAGGAGCTGAGGGAGGGAAGGTGGGAGGGGGCAAGGGAAAGAGGTGGGGGGGAGGCAGAGACAAATGTATTTAAAAAGTAAATAAAAAAATTAAAAAAAAAATAAAAATATTTCTTGTAACTTTAAAAAAAAAATAGGTCAAGGAGGATTTCTAAGGTAACAAAAGTACAACACCATAAAGATGATCAAATTCATAAAATGAACACCCCAAGAGTGACTCCAAATGCTAACTATGGGTTTCAGATAACTGTGATGTACATTTATTAATTGTAACAAGTGGACCGCTCTGGTGGGGAATGTTGGTAACGGGAGGGCACGCATGTGTGGGGCATGGGGTATAAGGGAAATCTCTGTACCTTCACCTCAATTTTGCTGTGAGCCCTAAATTACTCTTAAAAATAAAGTCAATAATAAAAATAAAAGGATGGAAAAACATGGGAGAATATAGCTCACACTGCATTAAGTAAATGTACCTTATATCTGTTCATAATTTTAAAAATATTATTCCAAAGTTGCTACTTAGTCTAAAAGGCCCTTTATACTTAATGACCCATGAGAAAAGGCCATTTCCTAGGAGGCAATTTTGAATAAATACTCTCCTAAACGCAACCCTGAGAAAGCAGTTTATACACTGATGTTGCCAAATTCTTTTTCTGAAGTGGAGTTCATCTGCTACTCTGCAAAACGGGGGTTCTGCGTGCCAACTCTAAGTGATGTTTTGATAGGAAACTAAAGGTTATAGGCATGTTCTCTGCCAATGCCTTGCCCAGAAAATTTTAACTCCCTGAGTATGAGGCAAAAATAAAAAATCAAATTTAGAGAGCAAACTAAATGTTCAGAGACAATCCCCAGAGAGATCTAGCCATCAAAAACATGCTTTGTTTTCTATTTCTGTCTTTGCTTCAGTATGCCCATGAGGGGGAGAGGGTGTTACAAAGCAAGCCGACTAGATCCAGAAAGGCAACGGACATCCCTTCATGGGAGGATTGTGCCAGACACACAAGTGTTCAAGGTGGGAAAACAGCACACAGAGCTGGCCACACGCTCAGGGTCAGGAAGTTCACAGTCAGAGGCTCTGAAGACCTTGCTGTGGAATTTCATATTTTCATAGTGCTTTTAACTCTGAGAGTTAATATTCCCCACAAAAACAAGGAGTGCCTATATAACCCTCTCCCTCATGTCTCTCATTCTTCCTTCGACCTGGGATGTTGTCCAACCCTGGTGGAAATGACAGTGGGAGGAAATGCAGTTCCAGAACCTTCTGACCTCACCTGTATTTAAATTCCTTATCAGTTTAAAAGCCAAAAGCACATGTTTCCCCTCTCCCTCCCTTTGAACTCACAGATGTAAATATTAGCGCGGTTTCCTAAGAGAAGAAAATGGCTAAACACTTTAGGTGGGCTGTGCCAAGGCACATCGAGCCAGAGGAGCAAGCGCTTTGTGGGCCCAGCGGGAGCAGCCGGCACAGGGCGGGAGTGCTGCGATTTCTTGGAAAGAGCCAAAAAGTGAAACAATTCAACTGACTTTAGCCCAAATCAAGTAAATTCTCTTTCTGCAAGAAGAAATTGAAGGAGGTTCATGCCAACACTCAGGGAAAAAATGAAGAAATATAAATCAGGATTACCGGAGGAAGCCTCACAATGATGCTGAATTTTAGTTTTTCATTTTTCTCAGTGTTGTCCAGATCTACAAGAAAGTCAGATTGACAAACAAAACAGACATCTCCATTTTAGTATCTGAACAAGCTAATAATACTTCAGTGGTTCATCCTGGTAACACATAGCCCAACCTTGCATTCTCAAGCTAACGACGCTTTAAAATGTTTAGTTTGTGTCTCTCTAAATAAAAGGAATTTTTAAGTGAAGCTGTTTCTAATATCACAAAACATGGTTCTTTAACAGGATGCTAGTCACAAAACAATTTTATTGACTAACATGAAGCAGAAGGCATCTTGAGTAATGGGAAATACTTTAATATACATTAACAAAACTCATATATAAAACACCACAACTGAATCATTTAAGTGAGAGTGATAATATTACAGACCACATTTAAAGTTCAAATTTATATAAGCACTGCATTTCTCATCAATTTTTCTTGCATTTCAAGTCTAACTTTGAAATGGCAGAGTTAATCAGCTGAAATTAAGTCATTTCATATTTTCTTGAGAAACACGCCTTCAGAGTCTCCTATCCTCAAATGCCCTCCTGTACAGGAAAAGGGATCTAATAGCTGTATGTGGATTGAGAAGCCATTTGGGGTCTCCTGAGGGTGAAGACACTTTAAATTAGCCCAAAAGATGGTTACGGGAAGTAAACTGTACTCAGAAGGACCAGCTGCATAATTTATGGCACCCATTGCAAAAAAAAAAAAAAAAAAAAGAGGAACCACTTGTTCAAATATTAAGATTTCAAGATTTAATGCCAAGCATTACAGTTAGCATGGGGCCCTCAGGAGTGCTGCTGGGCCCTGTATGGCCACACAGGTAGCCCCTCGAAGGCAGCCTTGGTGGCGCTCAGACTGAAACTAGCTCTCTGGCAAACTCAGAGCCTCGGAGCCTCTTACCTTTCATGAGCCTTGTGACAACTGTTTCTGTGAGAAGCAACACCCCATTATCAATGTAATGCAGCAGGTTATGCAAAGGGAGACAGCGGACGCCAAGGATCGTGTGCAGAGTGTGAAAACCTAGGATGACAGATGTGGGAGGAGAAACGTGGTCAGCCAGCACCTCCAGCCTTTCAGACAGAATAAACTGATGGCGTTAAGAAAGCACTTAGCTTAGTGCTTGGTGCCTAGAGTCAGCTAAATGCCACTTGAAGACAAGGTCCAAATTTCCTTCTTAGTAGTATCAAGACTAAGCACTGTGCTGAGTATATAAGTTCCCAACCAGTCTATATTCCCTTCACATTGTCTCCTCCCAGGCAAAAGGAGAAAAAGAGTGAAAGACCTGCTTGATGAAAAATGGCTTTACGGTTTAACAGGCTGGCAAATCTGTGGTAAGATGGCAAAAGAGAACAGGTAACAGAAGACCTTCAAAGTCCACATGCACAGCCTAAAAGGCTGATGGGTAGAGACCATTTTGCTAAAGAGGGAAAAATCGGAACCAGAAGGAGACAGCTTATATATGCCTGATCTCCGGGTAGGCTTTTGGGATCTACTTGGGCTAAATTATATGAAAGAAGAATTAAAATGATATGGTCAGATAGCAAAGCTATAGGAATTCAATAGAGAGGAAAGTTCTCCCAAACCTGAGTATCATGGGGAAGGAAGGCTCCTCAAACACACAGAAACTTAGTGCTCTAAGTACACTATTAATAATAAGTGATAAAAAACATCCATGGAAGGAGTAGGTATCAGAGCAGGAGAGAATCAGGAGAGCCTCTTGGAAAAGAGGGCATGTGAGGGGAGCTGTGGTGGGTAAATGCAATTCCTGGGGGTGGAAATGAGGCGGGGGGCATACAGAGGGGCGACAACAGAAAAAGCCCGGTTTGTATGAACAGACCGAGGCTGAGATCCGGTCAGACTGCTTACTACCGGCAAGCTACTCGGCCTTTGTCAGCCTCTGATTCTTCACCCTGCACATGGAACCACCAGTACCTTTCCCGCAGGGCTGCACTGAGAACCACAGCCAGTTCACGGGGCGCCCAGCCCATGGTAAAACACCAGAGACCCACACCAAACATGTACTGAGCCTTCAACCTATGCGCTGGCTCACGTGGTTCTCACAAAACCCCACAAAGTGGGAACCAGTTTATAAATGGGGAGGCTGAGATTCATAGGAGCTAAGAAACTTGCCTATAATCATATAAATAATACGTGGCTGAGCTAAAAAATTTGAACACAGGCTGTGGGACTTCGGCCTACGCTTCCACTATAACATTATCCTGCCCCAATCACTGGTAGCTGTGTTAACAGAACAATAACAACGGGGGCCCAAAGGTAAGAAAGTGTGGGGCCTTCTCAGAAAACATTAAGTGATCTGGCTGAACTGGAATCAGCAGTACGAGAGGAATGACAGGAGGTAAGGTTGGAAAGGTTAACTTAACAAATCCCTCCCATAGTCCAGGCAAGGGGCCGGGTGTACAACAATGGGCAAGACAGGTGCAACGGCTGCTCTCGCCTACCTTCCAGCCTGATGGGGAGAGAGAAAATCAAATAATCACAAAAACAATCAATGTATATTTTTTAATGTGACCAGTTCTATGAAAGAAAAGTGCAGGGAGCTCTGAGTGCATGTGACAAGGGTTGAATGCAGACTGGCAGCAAGGAATTTACTATTCAGTAAACGGGGGAAACACTGAAAGTTTTTAAGCAGGACAGAAAGAAGATTTGAGCTTTACTTTTGGAATAAATGGCAATGGGCAAAGAAGGGACTGGAATAACAGTTTGCTGCAAGAGGTATGAAGACCTGTTGGGAGGCTACTGCATGACCCTGGGCAAGAGGTAATGAGGGCACTGGCAGTGAAAGCGGAGGGAAAGGATGGGACGGGCTTGGAAACTGGAAGCAGGCAGGAAATGGCAAAGAATCAGAGCTTAGTCCTGGGAGCTTTCATGACAAAGAAGTGATACCCAAAGGGCAGGGACTTGAATTCAGACAAATCTCTGAGTTCTCTCGTTCTCTTTCTCTCTCTCTCTCCCCATGAATCGTGAGCAGTGAGGGACTGGAGTTCTGCATCCTGGAAACATCAAGGGTCAGATAGAATGCAGACTCTGCTCACAAGCAGACGTTAATGGGCTAACAATGGATGAGCCCACTAGCTTCCTGAATCCCTATCAAAATAGTGACTTTTATCCCTGATCAGTGTGGCTCAGTAGATTGGGTATCATCCCACAAAGCGAAGGTTCAGGTTCGCTGGTTCAACTGCCAGATGGGCATGTGCCTGAGTTGTGGGTTCTAATATTTCTTTCTCACATTGATGTTCCTCTCCCTCTCTTTTTCTCCCTCCCTTTCCCTCTGTCTAAAAATAAATAAATAAAATGTTTGAAGGAAAAAATAGTGATTTTACTACCTAATTAACAACATGAGATTTTTCAAATGGATTTAAACATTCTTCCCAAGATTAAAGAATTTATGAAATTTTTTTCTCAATAAAAATTCATAAATCCTATAGATTTTCAAAATTCCTTTCCACCCTGTGTCTATGTCCTAAAGATCCCTGATGACCTTTTATTCCCTGTCCCCAGGCACAGTCCCAAATTCAACAGTTTGTTCTTGGCCTCCTCTCTGCATGTCAGCCCTAAGCACAGAGAAATTGGCTAAAAGCAGACAGCAGTTCCAAAAGAGAGCTGTCCCAGCCAATTCTTATCCTCATCCCCCCACGGGCCCTGGTCTCCTCCAGCCGGCAAGAGTGCAGGTCCCTTTTAAACTGCAAAAGCTCCAGCTCTAAACCATGACTTTCTTTTTAAGGTTCTCTCTCTCTTTTTTTTTTTTTTTTTGGTCTTTAACCAATTCAGGTTACACATTTCTGACACTTGAAACTCAGTTTTTGCCACTCCAGAAGGCCTGGAAAGCATGCACACTGAGACATGTATGTGAAAAAATATCTTGTATTTACACGCACATGAGAGCATGCACCCAGTCCAGCATTGCTTCACCTCTATTTCCATGTCACACGAGAAACAAACATTTAACAGGAAAAGGGATAGAAACTTCTCTTCCCTACTTGATCCATGGACACAAGCCATTAAGTCTATTCAAAATAATTCTCAATCACTACAAATAACATTTTCCTATGTTCTCCCTCCTTATCTAGTCCTGTGAAATATAACTTTCTGTAGAAAGTGAATTTTTATGACTTCCCAAGAATAATATTGTTCCCAGTGAGTCAGTTTCATTTATTTATAAACAGAGCTTGAACATCTGTGGTGAACAAATATGAAAGCATTATTTCATTCCTCTATCTAGCCTTTTGTGTTCATCATAAATAATTAAGAAGTTAAGACAGAAAGCCATACACAGTTTTCATGAAATTCCTTCACTCTTTCTAGAGGGCATCCCACAATTCATACTCCATTGGGATAATTTACAGCCATCCATTCTCCTCATAAATGGCCACTCTCAGATTCCTACAAAGTTAAAAGAAACCCATTTTGTACTTCTACTACAGACCTTATAAGATAAGGTGTTTGGCTAGAGAAAGCATGAAGGATTCCAAACTCTATCAGCTATATCACAAATGAAGAGGAGTTTAAACATGCTATAAGGACTTTGGAGCCCATAAATAGCCAAAGTTTGAGCATCAACTAATTCAACTTAAATATAAAATTTGAAAGGCAGAAGAGATTTTGGAGCCAGACTGCCTGGATTTGAATATTGGCTTTGTTGCTTAATAGCTGTATGACTTCGGGCAAGTTACTTTTAAACTTTCTGTGCCTCAATTTTACCATCTTTGAAAGAGAACAATATATAGTGAAACCATAAGAAAGTGCCATTTCTGTTGGTCAGAAATTTAATGTGGTTCAATTTAAGTTCTTACCACCCATGTTATTATGAAAATTAAATGTGTTAATTTATGTAAAGTACTTAGAACAATACCTCGTGAAAAATAGGCACTATACACATGATGGCTTATAATGAACAACTGAAGAAATGAATTAATGATGGATGAAGAAATAGACATATATGAATAAATAAATAAGACTAGCTGATATATTATCAATAAATCAACAAACAACAAGTGTTGGTGAGGAGGCAAAGAAAAGGGAACCCTCATGCACTATCAATGGGAATGCAGATTGGTGCAGTCACTGTGGAAAACAGTATGGAGTTACCTCAAAAAATTAAAAGTAGAACTGCCTTATGACCCAGCAATTCCATTCCTGGGTATTTACTCAAAGAAATTCTACACACTAATTTGAGAAGACATACGCACCCCTATGTTCACTGTAGTATTATTTACAATAACCAGAATATGAAAGCAACCTAAGTGTCCATCAATAGACAAATGGATATAGAAGATATACTACATATATGCAAAGGAATATTATTCAGCCATAAAAAAGAATGAATTGTTACCATTTATGACAACATGGATAGACCTAGAGGGTATTATGTTAAGGGAAAGAAGGCAGACAAATACCTTATGATTTCACTTATATGTGGAATCTAAAAAACAAAATGAATAATGAAACAAAACAGAAATAAACTTATAGATACCAAGAACAAACTGATTGTTGCCAGATGGGAAAGGCAGTCAGGGGACAGGTAAAAAACGTGAAGGGATTGAGAAGTACAAATTGCCAGTTATTAAAAAAAAAAAGTCATGGGATATAAAGTACAGCATTAGGAATATAGTCAATACCTATGTATCATGTCAGATGGGTACTAGATTTATTGGGGTGATCACTTTGTAAGTCAAACAAATGTCTAATCACTATGCTGTACACCTGAAACTAATGTAACATTGTATTCAACTATAATTGAAAAAAGGATAAGAATTAAAGAATTATCTAAAAAATATTAAAAAATGGTTGATATATTACATACTAATAGCTATTATAAAGCTGACATTACAACTTATATGCAATGAACATAAGCCACACAGTTTATAGCAATCAGGAACTTATTTGTTTCTTATAACAATTATTGGTTTATATGCACATCTTCCCAACTAGACTTTTGTTAATTTCTGTAATTGCTCTAATTTCTAGCGCAGTACCTGACATGTAGTAATTGCTCAACAAATGTTTGTTGATTGAATGAACAAATGACCAATTAAATAAATGACTGATACACATGTGTCAAGGCTGTTTTGAGGCCTGATTTGGTCCTATTTCAAAATGCTAAGGGAAATTTTTAGTTTCCAAGCATGTAAGAATCAACCCAGTTTGGCACCCAGACCCACTTCCTTCTGTGTTAACTTTCTTGATCAGATAAACTAGTCTTACAGACATCAGAGAAAGATCTCCCTGAATCAGCTCCACTTGTTCAAAGTATCCTAGAAAGTTACATGAGGACCAACCTAGGCTCCCTGAAGTTAGTGACAAACTACAATACAGTGTGATAATTGGGGGAGACCTGGCCATCAGAGACCAATGTCAGACCCATCTCTCACAGGGACACCAGGCACACAATTTCTCAAACACAGCAGTTCTCATCCTTAAATTCATAATGTGCCAAAGTCTAGGAACCATGTGAAGAAGAAAGAACACATTTAATACAACAAGGAATAAAACAGCCAAGACTTACCAGGAGGCAGAGGTAAGAACAAACTGCTAGTAGCTTCCAAAATCCTGGTCATGATGTGGAAGACCTCAAATTCAGCCGCACTAGCCCGCCTATTACTAGGAAAATACCAATGTAGCACGTCAGCCAAGGAGCTTATCTCTGAAACTCCATTTGTCTAAGCAATGGCTCTGAGTACCCCAGACAGATGGAATCCATGCTAATCATGAAAGGCTCTGCCCTGGAGAAAGCTTCAAAAATATGATGGTGACCATCAGCCGAATGCCTAGACTCTAACCAGTCAGTGGACACATAAATAATAAGTCATATTCACTTCAATTGCCCTTCTCAGCAGCACTGAGCTCATGTGCCCCTCCCTCCCCAACAACCATATGCCCAGAAAGAGGGTGAGTAAAGTTCCGTGGGCATAACTTTAAATGCTGAGCAAAGAACTAAGATAGATGGTGTCAGGACTGGTGAGAGTTGCTTCCAACTGGTAAGTTTCAAAAAATCTTTGCTAAAACAGACAGCAATTAAAGTTGTTTTGGCTCCTTGTGCACCACAATAAAAGAGCAAAAAATACTTGCGTACAAGTGGAGAACCCAGGGATGAAGGTTATGTCTCCTCCAACTGGTTTCCAGTATTTGGCAAATCAGATCCAGCTGGAGGGGAAAGACAGCCTGTTAACCTCTGTTCTTCTCCCCCTTCCCTCTGCCGACCCAAGCAACCCCTCCACGCTCTGACTGGCACATTCAGGGCAGCTGGCATTCAGGCTGTTCCCACACACAGAGCCAGCATCTCTGAGGTCAGTTCTGAGGCACCGGAACCCTAAATGGAAAGACTGAAAATACACCCCAGAGTCTAACAGAACACCCTCTGTCTGTGCGGGCAGTGCCCCAGCTGAGCTTCCCAAGCCTGGCTAACAGGCTCTCGTCCGTCAGTGAAAGTCAAGTGCAACTGGGTTTGCTTTAGGCCTGTTTTGTGGAAAGAGCTGACAGTGAGAAGAGAGGTAACACTGAATAGCACAACAGTCCTAAGCCTGGGCTGTGGAGTAAAACTGGCTTCAAGTCCCCAGGTTCAATGTTGTACTGGCTTGTCAGTCATAGGACAGTCTCTGCCGAGCAGTTTTCAGCCACGAATCCATGCGTTGTACGTGTGGGCAAAGGATAGGGTCTCCCTACAGGCACAAGCACTATTTACTCTCCATGATACAGATTCTCAGTTTCTCTTCGGTTGAAATCAGGTAAAATTGCACATGAGTAATATAATCAGGTTCTGCAGCAACTTCTGAGAATTCGTTTTAGAGACGCTGTGTGTGACCCTCCAGAGAGGGGCCTGGGAGGCCTGACTGTCTGCCACTGGGCAGGGCAGGCAGATTCGGCTTCAGTCAGTACCTGTGAGTTTTCTGAGAATACATCTAGGTCATTTCTGGTCTTTTTGGTTCTAGGAGTGGTTAACACAAACTAATATTAAAACTTTTATATGATTAACTTGGGGAAGAATGATGCTTGAACCAAAACTCTTAGCAGTTTAGAAGGTGAAATTTAAAGTCAACAATTAGGTGACAGGTAAATGTGTTAAATAGTTGTATGTTATTAGCTAAAGGACTAAGGAAGCAAGTCAATATCAATATGAGGAAGACAACATATTCATAAAAGTCAGCTCCTCTGTATAGTTCTGCAAGAAAGAATTATTTAAGAAAGTTTCAATGCTCTGATTATAAATATCAGTATATGAGAATACCAACCTCTCCTCATATATTAAAAACTACTAAATTCGAAGATATTATTTAAAAACAGACTAATGACTGTACTAAAGGCATAAACTTTAAAATTAAACATGAAATTAAATGAGGGACCTATCTAGTAAACTAATCTTCCAGAGTTCAGTGCAAAAGTATGTATTTGCACACTGGCTCATTTGCACACTGGTCTTACTCAAACTTGAAGAAATAGAATGTCTTTTTTCTGTGTATTTAAATACTTTAAAATGTTAGCCCTGACTGGTGTGGCTCAGTGGACTGAGTGCCAGCCTGCAAACCAAAGGGTCACCGGTTTGATCCCCAGTCAGGGCACATGCCTGGGTTGCAGGCCAGGTCCCCAGTAGGGGGCACACAAGAGGCAACCACACATTGATGTTTCTCTCCCACTCTTTCTCCCTCCCTTTCCTTCTCTCTAAAAATAAAGAAAATATTTTTTTAAAAATAAAAAATTAAAATCTTTTCCCAGCATTTTATTTCTAGATTCTAAACAGGGTTAGGCTTCAATTCCATACACTTTTTGAAGGACCCAAGACAGCTTTAAAATTCAATCTAATGTCATCACTTCTATTTATACATGAACTGGTATTTTTAATTTGGATTACGCAATTTCAGTAAGTGGCTACTTGGTAGATGACCTGTCAATCTCATCAGCAGATTCAAATGTGGTAGTATCTATACAACTGACTAGAATCTGGCCTAATTAGGCTGTTGGGACTAATTAAGAATTGAAGTTCAAGTTCTCTCATGTCTGCATACACCTTCATGTCCAGACAACATTACCTACTGTTTAATAAGAAACTGGAAGTTGGCAAGGTGAGATGTGAACATTAGGCAACCATGCTAAATTCATAACTGTTCTATGCTTCATGAGCACATACTCACTATTTGAAAGGAGTACAATAAACACTTTCAAAACCAAGTTCTCTCTGTTTTTGAGGTTATTTTTTAATTTCCTCAATCTATAGCACCTAATATACTGATTTGAGAATGGAAGACCTTCTAAAACCTAATTTGAAAAACATACTGAACCACATGTTAGGAACTATATACCAGGGCCTGGGGAGTGAAAAACAAAAAGCAAAACCAACCAGTTTTGAACTGTAGTTCAGAACCATCTGTCCAATTTTCTTCTTTTCTACACCCTGTAGATGTCTCAAAAGATGGTCTTTTAGTTCAGACACCATCTGAAAACAGGATATAAATTAAATAGGTCATAACCCACCCATTCACATCTGCCACTGGTTTGAATTAGGTCCATTTATTAACATTCCTCATGAGTATGAAAATATCGGGTCTGATGATCCCACTAGCAAAAATGCATAAATCTCAATCTTTCTTTAATGGGCATAAATCAAGTGCCAATGTCTTCCTCTAGCAGGGGTATCCAACCTTTTCACATCTTTAGGCCTCACTGGAAGAGTTGTCTTGGGCTACACATTAAATACATTGCAACATGAATCACAAATAAATCTCATAATGTTTTAAGTAAATTTAAGATTTTGTGTTAGGCTATATTCACAGCCACCCTGGGCTGCATATAGCCTGTGGGCCTCAGGTTGGACACTCCAGCCTAAAGGAACTGTTTCTGATACATCAGGGAGCAACTGGCTGTCAAGCTCCAAGCCCTGGTGAGAATTCTCCAACGAACTCTCAAACAAAAGTTGTTTGCCATATACCCAATTATTTTGTCAGACTAAGTTCCTAGAAATGCAATTGTTGGGTCACACACGTTAGGCTTGTGAAGACAGCGCCAAATGCCTTCCGTCATGCTTACACTGACTCTCAGCTGCATTGGAGGAGGCTGTCCGGTCCCCTGTCCTGAACTTCCTAGTATGATTTTTAAATTGTTGTCAATTTCATAGGCAATTTAAAAACAAAAACAAAAACAAAGAAAAACACTTGTTCTGTTTGTCATTTGGTTACAGCAATGGTAGACATTCTTTCTCTTCTCCCGCAACTTGAGATTTTGGGCCTAAATTTACTTTGGAAAAGTCATTGGTCACATCCTCTATTCATTTATTCATTTTCTGTTGTGTTGTTCTCTTATTGATTTATAAACTTTACTTATACACCAAATATTAATCATTTATCACATATCTCAAACATTTTTCCAAATTTATTGTTTGCCTTTTGTTTTTCTGTTTATGTTTTAAGATTTCAGTCTACCTTCTCCTAAATGTCTATGTTCAATAATACACTAAAAGGTCTTCTCCATTTCAGTACTATTTAACAATCCACTTATTTTATTCAAATTCTTGCATACAGTTAAATGTTTTATATTATGCTCCTTTATCTATCTGATATTTCTGTTGGTTTATGGCAGCAATTTTCAACTGATGTGCCACAAGAATCTTTAAAACATGCAATACCTGGCTATTTAGTCAGGGGTACTGGCCTTTTTTCCCTTAGACTGTCAAATTAAAAAAATAACAACAATCAACACAAAAATAGACATCCACTGTGAATGAATCAAAATACCTATTTTTTGTCAGATCAGCAAAAAATATAATAGCATGTTTTTTGGTGTGCTGCAAAATTTTAGTAATTAATTTATGTGTGCCATGAGATGAAAAAGGTTGACAATTGCTGGTTTATGGTATGAAGTGCTGGTATTTGGGATAGGAGGAATCTAACTTAATTTTCTTTTACAAATAGACAACCATTGACTGGTTTATTTATTAGAAATTATTTCTTTCCACATTGACTTTTAAATGCCTCATGTATCATATACTAAATATTCTAATTTAAACTAGAACCTACTATCTACTTTTGTACAAGCACCATTTTGTTACTGTTGGTGTAGATCAACAACACATTCCGATATCTAGTACTGACAGTCCTGCACCTCTTTACTATCTCTGGTGAGCCATTTAATCAACTGTTGGAGAATTTTATTGGCTTTTTTGCTTGTATGTTATTAACCTAGGAATTGTAAATGGGATATTGTTTTTCATTATTATTTCTAACAGGTTAATCCTGATAAAAAAAGAAAATAGATATAGAATCACCAGCTTACTAACCTGATACTTACTTTCCATTTTCCCAGTTGATTATTTTGTTTGTTTGTAGCATTAGATAGTCTTAGCATCTTCTTTTGCCTTTGTTTGTTATTGCAGAACCATAACAAATTTTAGTGAAAATTGAGAGGATACTTGACTTCTTTCTGATTTTAATAGGAATATCTCCAATATTGCATTAAGAAAGATGTTGGCTATTAGCATTAGATTACTCTTTGTCCTATTAAGTTAGTGTATTCCAAAAGTAGAATTTTACTTTTATCAACTTTTAGTACCTATAGAGATTATTATTTTTTCCTCTTTGATCTAATAATATGATGAATTACATTAATATATTTCCTAATATTAAGCCTCCCTAGAAAGAGCCCCACTTGTATTTTCAAAAAGACCATTGGAAAGTATTTTAATTAAGCTTGTGGTATCTATATTTATAAGTAAAACTGATCACTGCCAGATTTTGGTTTTAAAGTTAAGCAGGCTTTTTAAAGGGACTAAGAAGCTTCTCATCTCTTTCAGAAATATTTCACACACCATGAGAATGACCTGGTCCTTAAAAGTTTGGAAGAACAGACTATTAAATAGATTGGGGACTATTCTGGAGATAAACTTTGCCATTTTTTTTCCAAATTATTTTATCATTATTCAGCTTTCAGATCATCTATTTCTTCTTGGCTCAAGTTTAGCCATTCTATTTGCCAAAGATACTTTGTTCAACTAAAATTTTTAAGTGCATAAATATGTATTTACATACTTTCCTCATATTTTTAACTTGCCATATCTAGTAATAGAGTATCTCATTCCTAAGCCTACATAGTATTAAAAATATTTTATTAGATTTTCTTGATGTCTCTAATCAGACTTTTAAAGATTTTTGAAGTTATTTACCAATTCTGTTCTTTAATTAGTTTATTTTGGTTTATATTTCTTTGGTTTTCCTGATAGTAGGACTTCTTGATAAAGAACGTTTTATTCTGTTATATTTTAAACCTGTAATACAAATGCCACAGAAACATTGTTTTTTCCTTGTTTTAAATACTCTCAATGTACATTTCCTTATGATGTTTTGTATTTATATTTACTAGTGTAATAGATTAATGTGTGTCTTCCCCACTAAACTATAATTCTAAGAGGGCACAAATCATACTGTTCCTTACCACTGAACACACAGAGCCTACAGTGGCTGGACGTAACTTCGTGTTGAAAGAATGAAAAACAAGATCAGAATGAGCAGTTCAATTTAGCCCTTTCCTCTTTTCTTGGAGCCCATTGTTTGCTACCACAGACCACTTACCAGCCCCATAAGCAGCCTCTGGTGGTTGTCTTCCTCCTGGAAGAGGGGTGTCAGTCTTGGCTCTGAAACTAAACAGAGCAATTGTCAACCTGGGTGGTTTACTGGAAATGGGCTAGAAGAAAAAGGAATCAGCCTGGTTTCCCCTCTCTGAGTCATGGGAAAATAGAACAGTTCCCTAATAGGATAAAAGTTTTTCACTAGGTAAGTGTGACCTAGTCCTACAAGCTGAACTTATCACTCAGGTGACTCACAGAGAGAGCTCTGGGCAACCAAACGAGGCAGAGACAAGGGAGGAAGAGAGGAAGAGAGGAAAAGAGAGAGGGAGGGGGAGGAGGGAGGGAAAAGGAACACATTCCAACACAAACAAGCTCTGGCTTTGATTGTTCTTCAACACAAAAACTCACCATTGTCTAAGAACTCCTGCTTCACTGGAGACAGAGTAATTGGGCCTCTCTTAACTCTAAGGGGAACATAAACCCAGGGAAAGAGACTTGATGGAAGAATCACTTGATTCCCTTCTTTCTGACCTCCCATAGTTTAGTGCCTTCGGGAATTACTAAGCTGAAAGGACCAGACAATTACTGTGGCATAACACTAATTGGCATAAGTTAAGAGGCTGCAAGGTAACTGGATCAAGATGGAAAGGTGACATGTAAGGTCAAATTGAATGGCACTCCTCCACTGTGACTTGCACTTCACCAGAAAGACTGGAGGGGCAGGCAAGGAGTCTCACTGGAAGATGTGCCCTAACACTTCTCTAACAGCACCTTGTTACCCACTCCTCCTGTCCCAGAACACCTGACGCACAGCGCCAGGCAGGAGGCCCAACCTACACAGGCCTGTGGGCTAATGACTCCGCTGGTGGGAGGGCATGGATGCCTCCTGATGCCTCGGGAGAAATCCTATCTGGATCCTACACAACCTTCATGATTAAGATGAAACGATTCAGGCCTTGAGCTCAGCAGCCCCAAATTTCACATGGAGGGTTCTGACCCTGGCAGTGATGCTCTTCTTCCTAGGAAACTAGCATAAGCAAAGCACGTGAGAGGAAGGAGCACATTCCCAGAAGTGTGTCAGGAGGAAATGACTAGTAACAGGACGCAAGCAGGCCTGAAGGACAGGAGCAGGAGGGGCTCTCACAGGGGGAGGGAGAGTGGGCACAACAGAAATAGGACACCAGACCAGCAACATTTCCCACATTGCAAACCCCTGAATCACACACATTCACACCCCCGCCCCTGCACTGGACAGGACTCCTGCTGACAGCTGCTGCCTGGTGCCGGTGATAGAACTTCTGGCTTCAGACATGGGTGACCTGGTAACAGTGGCAGAGGCTGGGTCCCTAGGGGATGTTCAGCGAACCCGAGCTCTGTCTGCCTGGGCTGGCTGACGGGTTCACAGTCACAATTCATGTGCGTTGTGTGCACAGCTGCAGATGTGCAGCAAGCAACACGCTGTATAAAATAATTTCCGTTAGGGTCACCCAACATATAGCTAAATATCCAAGCCCATAAAACAAGTGAGATATAAAACAACAGCTTCTTAAATAGAGACTGACTTTTAGGAGCCATGAAAGGGTTCCCCTGACAAAACCACCAAAGGACTTTTCCCTGAACACGCTTACCATCGTCTTCCCCCAGTTTCATCCAGCTGAGACCCCCTTGTTTGTCAAGACTCTCCTGGCCTAGCCCCTCACCCCTGCGCCCTGCGGTTACATGACACCTGTCACCTGACTTAGAAATTACGTTAGCACTTCTTTCTCATGCACTAGGGATCAACCAGCCACACCAGGTATCCCACAGGCGCCAAGCTCCGTACTAGGTGCTGCAAACATTGCCCCACTTACTCTCCTTTTCTCCTCGCCCTCGCTCTGAGGAGGACCACACAAAATGGATAAATGGCTTGCCTAAGAGGACACAGCATGTGGCCAAGCTGGAATTAAGTCCAGTGCTGTCTGGCTCCAAGCCCACGCTCTTCCCCAACAGTCACAGTGCTTACCTAGAGGCTCCTCACCTGTGCACCCCTAGGACCTAGCCCAGTGAGTGTGCAAGTGTCAACCGGAATGCAAGGAACATACAAGTCAAGGCCCCTGTGTGATCAGACAGCTGGAGAGAAAGCAGCCCTAAGCCAAGGGAATTTCCAAAGTGCATTCTGTGGATATAGCCAGAGGGCATACTAATTAAATCAATTCTGTGAGGAAAAATAATGAAAACCAGAAGGCCAACACTGAGGGACCCCTCCGGCAAAAATACATTCAGCAGCTGTCCCTGAAGGTCCTGGTTCCAGGACAGACCCGGAAGGAGCTGGGCGGCCACTCTGACAGGAAGATGTTAAAGGGTGCTGCCTTCATTACACTGCTGGGAGTGTTTTTCTTGCCAACCCACAGTGGAAGGATGAACAGTGTGACAAACAAGACACTGACTGAAGTCCAGAAGGCTTTTTATTACAGGTCTTTTCTTACCCAAATTCCTTGCTTCCAGGTTCGAAATCACCCTACAAAGAAATTAGTCAATGTTACTCACACAGGAAGCATTGTTTTGGGTTTTTTTTTTAAATGAAAGCCACTATACCATACAAGGATATCATTCTTTAAAAACCCATAATACCACTGCAGAAACTGTTCTCATGCTGGTGAAAACCTCAAGAAACTTTAATCAACTTGGTAAAAGCCACATCAGGCAATGACAAAACTCAAAGCCCTTTAGCGCAAACAATGACAATAATTTAGAACAATTGCAGCTCTCAGTTATTGGAAATAATGGGAACAGAAAATAAACCAGAGGTTGGAATGGGGCCTATACTTGCAGCACTTTAAGATGACTCACTATCCAAAAGATCTGCTTTCAAAATAAGAGCAAGCTCACCAGCCCACTAACACTTTTTAAAATCAGCCTACTATCTGTACATTCCCCACAAAGTGCTCAATTAATAAGAGCTTTCTATACCATTTCTTTATAAATCATCCATCCATGGGATGCAAACCTGGTAGGCTTAACAGATAAACTTGCCCACTAGAAACTCCAGCATCAAATTCTAGGATAGGGCCCAAGTGGGTGCATTCATTAGGCTGACAGTATCACACACAAAGGATACACAAAGGAAGGAAGGTATTTCCATGAAAGGTAGCCAACAAAATAATTTCAAATTATAATCATCTTACAGATGCAATAATCCCAATTTTTACTTACTTTACTGCATTATCAAGAATGTTCCTCACATACACCTTGGACCTTCTTTTTCCTGTTTTCTAGGAGTGAGAACATGCCAGAGGTGTGAAAGGTGGAGGTCTTGCGGGTGACATTTTTCACATCAAGGACATAACGTAATGCAATTAAGAGTTTCAGGAAAAAGAAATATACTTTCCAAGTAAAAACACTCAGGTAAAATACTTAGATTTTTTTTTAAAGATTTTATTTATTTATTTTTTTAGAGAAGAGAAGGGAAGAAGGAGAGAGGGAGAGAAACATCAATGTGCAGTCGCTTCTCACGTCCCCTACTGGGGACCTGGCCCTCAGTCAGGGCATGTGCCCTAGACTGGGAATCAAACTGGTGACCCTTCAGTTAGCAGGCCAGCACTCAATCCACTGAGCCACACCAGCCAAGGCTAAAATACCTAGATTATTTAAAAACTTGTTTTTCTAAAACTATTATAGATTTACAGGAAGTTGCACGTCAATTACATATTACATACAACAACACTACAACCATATACAACAATACTACAGAGAGATCTCAGGTACCTGATCACCTGAGATCACCTGAGATCTCCCCAATGTTTACACCTTATATAAATGACCACATGTGGTACACTCCCCAAGCCAGGAAGCTGACACTGGTACAATGCATGTGTAAGTCTATGTCACTTTATCACATGCGTAGATTCACATACCACCACTATCAAGATACAAAATGGTTCCATCACCCAAAGAAGCATCAGAGAAGCACCTCTGTCTGCCTATGGGGAGATCAGCCGCAAACATGTAAAAGCGCCTGGCAACCGGGGAGCGTGCTGCAAATGTAAGCCCGCCTTGTGACTTGCGGGCATCACCTGGATCTAACACATTATACCTTCGCTTCTTGCTTTGTTCTCATGAACCCACACATACCTCTTCCGAGATCAAGCTGTGCCACTCTCTCCTGACCACGCTGTTGTTATAATGTAAGTGTGCCTTGGAGTACTTGACATATTCCAGGTTGGCATTCAGTTTTTCCCAGTAGTTCTTAAAGCTATGCACCTGAACGAGACAAAAACATCAGTGAGCTTGAGCAGCTGGCCCTGCTGGCCAAACTCTCCAGGAGGACCACGCAAGCCTTGCTGCCAGCTGGGCTGCCTTACTTGCTCAGCTCTTGCAGAGCAGCATTTCCAAGGGAATACTTTCCGCAAAGAATGGTATTCTCATCCCAATAGGGATTCTAAAAATAGACTTAAAGAGTCTTGCCTTCCCCACTTCCTCTCCTACCTTCTTTTATACCACACTGATATGACTCCTCTGTGTTAAGGTTAAGCAGGTCTGCCTATGCTAAACACATGTGTTGTATCAACAATGCCATGTTCAGTCAGAGAATGTTCACAAGATTTGGAGCAGGTGGAATAAGCTTACTTTCACACTAAGCTTATTTACTTCCAAAGGAAGTGAACTAGTTTCACATTCAGTTGTCAAAATACTCCAGAACAGAATAGTTGGCATCCTACCTAGGTCTTTGACTTATTGATATAATAATTGTACTACCCTGAAGCAAGAATGCATCCATTATGTCCAATTTTAAATTAAATGCAATATTAATACCATTTTTAATGTTGAAGGATATACAGACACAAACTGTTTTTTAAGTCAATGAAGATAAATTTAGGATACACATGTTATTACCAAAAATATGCAATTATAAAGATTTGACTGAGGCCAAGGGTGCAATGTGTGGCCATAAAACAAAGTGAGCTAATGCCTACTCTGGTAGCAGACTTGGCTATACCACAAGGAAAAAAAGAGAAATGAAATATGCCTCAATCAAGAAAATGCCCTTATGTTAAATGAGAGCACACTATCCAAATTCTTATTAAAAGGATAGCCACAATTGGTTCAAAATGGATTTTGAAGTATCTGTAAAGTGACTTACATAGTAATAACTTGCTGTTTTAAGTGCCTGAAAGTCCAGTCCAGCCAACACTCCTTATCACCCAGACAGAGAACTATTTTCAAGAAAGTGTCACTTATAGGGGAAATCTGAACACTCGAGTTAGGTCATACTCCCACTTGACCTGTCTCATTCAACTTTTCTTTCCCTTTCCATCTATTTATACTGACTGTATCTTTATCCACCCTTTGGTCTCCCTCGTAACAAAGAAATAATAATAATGAAAGCAAGCCCTGGCGACATTTGACAGTACTAGGTCACTGATGAGATGTCACTACAGCTTTCTTGCGGTTCTGCCTCTGGGTTCAGGCACACAACTGGTGTTGTGGTGACATCTAGTGGTCAGATCAGCAGTTAGCTCTGCCTGCTTTGCACAGGAGTCCCACTATGTGGTTGCCAGACTTTGCTCAGGACAAGGTGTGTGAGGGGAGGAATGCTGATGTCCTTCTACCTGTCACGGGGCCTCTTCCTTTCAGAACAAGTGCCACTCTCCTGTCAGAAGACCCCCTCACACACCTACGCTGTGGCTCCAAAGAAAAGATCTCTCCCAAATTACCTTCCTTTTCCTTGCTCCCCCATTTTTAAAATCCCTTTTCTTAACTGAGAAAAAATAGGTAAAATAAGTCCATGGACAGGCTTCAAAGGGGCTCATGACTCACTGGCGGTGTATGAAATGGAGTGTGTATTTGTATGAGCATTTTTCTGGGAAGGTATATAGTTTGCACCAAAATTTTTAAGGAGTCCATGAATTGTTCAAAAGCAGTCAGTTTGAAGGGGAAAAAATTGAAGTTTTAAACAATAACAACAACAGCTTTTATAAAAAATAAGAAACACTGTTAGCCAAAAGTCCCCAAAGTATTTTAACATAAACAGATTTTTCAAGGAGGTCAGTCGGCTGAATGTTGTACTATAGCTCTTAAGAGAGTACAGAGAAAAACAATCTGTAGCACATGTCACTCTGCAGTATCTACTGGATTAGTGATGCAACTTTTTGAGTTATAAAAATTCATGGACATCATTGTAAATTGGAAGGTCTATTTGGAAGTCTGGTTAATAGATGAGACCCAGAGGATGAAATGGATTTGAGTTAAGTGAAGGATAAGGAAAAGATGTTCCAGGTGTGGCTCTGAGGAGGCGAGTGAAGATTGAGAGACTCAAATGTGGGTTCGGGGTTTAGACCAGAGGCAGAGCATTGGAGAAAGCAACCAACAACACTTCATTCTCTGTGTAGCTAGATATCTGCCTCCAGAGTTGATTCCAAACTTCAGCAACCACCTGGATCCCATCCTCTGGAGATTTAACTGGTTTGAGGTGCAACCTAAGCCTCCTGAGTTTAACAAGCCTCCCACCCCCAATCCTAAAGCTCAGCCAGGACTGGGGCACTGCTGGAGCATGTCCAGGTAACCCCAGTCTCCCTCCCACCCTCAAACATCTTCATCAGTCTATACCTCTGGCGTATAGGCTGAGGAAGACTTGTGATTGAGTTAAGTTATAGGAGACAGCATTAGAGAGGAGGTTAGGGACAATTTGTGAAAGATCTCAAATGCCAAGTTAACACCAGAGTGCTCATTAATCCAGAGAATAAAAGAAGCCCAAGATAAAATTTTAGCTACTGTAACATAATATTGGGGTTGGGGGGTAGAAGCTGCACAATCACATCCTTACAGCCAACCTGGGAGCAGAGAAAACCACTCCAAACAGTCAACTAGCCCTTATGTAACTAGTTGAGTACTAAGTGCTGTATTCATCATAACCAACTGAGCAAAGTGAGAGCCACAGCAGTGTAAGAAGCACAAGGCCAGCTACTTAATCAGAACTCATAAAGCTTTAAAATACACACCCACACAAAAAGTTTCATAAGAAAAATACCCATGAATATAGCTGCTTTTGGGAGACTTGGTGTTAGAAGCCAGTAGATACTTTAGCAAATGTCCAGAAGCATTTTCCTGCACAAAGGGGTGTTTTAAACTTTGATTTTGAACGAAGTCTCTTCTTGAGAAATAATCTTTTTGTCTCTTAGGATGACATAAAGTAATTAACAAATGTCGACCATCACAACTATTAATTGAACAAAAGGACAAAAGTTGCAGTAAGGGATTGTTTCTCATTTATGATTTGGATTGCCAGTTAATTAAAAAAAAAAGTCCTATGGTACTGGCTTATCTGCAAATTACTGTCAGAAAGAAACATCTACCCTTCATTTCTAAACAGCCCTCTGGCTTTGGTCCTAGGTCTTCTGATTAACTAGCATCTTCTTACAGGAGAGGAAGCCAACTGAGAGAGAACCTTCACCCTCCATGCCCAGGGCTCAACTAGCAGAGCTAAAGTATCAGTGAGCTGAGCTCTTCAGTGGATACCACCTCAGTATCAGCTTTTACTTGCAGCCCAGAGAAACACAATGACCCACTACCTCCAGCACAGACAGAATAAAATAGAAACAGCCATAAGTTCATAAAGGTGGCAAGGTACCACACTAAGCCAAGGTGCTGTAGCAACTGGAACTTAGGCTGTAACAGAGTGAAATGCTCAGCCTCTCTGACTCCAGCCTGCTTTGTTCCATGGCCTTCAGGCTAATGGCTTTGGCTTTGTCTTGAATGTAGACATGCTAGTCATTAGAGGAGTTCCACTTCTACCTTGAAATTTACAAAAACAGTGCCTTACCAGAGGAGACAAGGGAAGTATATACAAAAATAATAACTGTTTATCAATGATTTGCAGGAACCAAATGATTGGACTCACATCAGCTAGAGTCAACAAGCTAAGAACAAAGAAGTTTCACAATCTTCCTCAGACCCCTGCTGGTGCCCAGTTGCCTTTTATCCTCAATCACTTCTTGCATCTCCTGTTTTCCCCTTCCCTTGATATAAAAGAAGCCTGAGTTCTATACTTTCTCAAGATGGTTCTTTAGGAAGCTAGTCTGCCATCTTCTCAGTTTGCTGGTTTTCCAAATAAATAAAGTCACTTTTTCTTGCCCCAGCACCTTGTCACTCAACTTACTGACTGCCAGGCAGTGAGTGGGACGAGCCTGGACTCAGTTTCACAGAGGCTTCCTGTAAGGGGATTGCATGTTGCAAGCGCAAGTTCTCCTATTTATAAATGGACTTCCTCCTTCCTCCCAAAAATCTAGTTAAAAAACCCCAAAAAACAAAAAAAAAGGCACCTCTGTTCTTTGCCTAGCTGGGTAGCTCTCTTAGCCATTTTTCATGGCTGAATTTTTAATGTAATCATTAAATATGGCTCTAAATTATTCCATCTCAAAATCAACATATATCCTGAGAAAGTCAATGCTAAGGTATTTCCCTCCTCTCAACTTTAAGAATTAAACATTATGTCTCCAACCAAAACTATGAATAAGAGCAGCACAGCCTAGTGAACAGTAGGAGAGAAATAAAAACAAGAATCCTTGATCCTGGGTCTGTTCCTCAATTTCATAACCTAGGAAGTAAACTGGTTACCCCCGTCTCTACAGATATGACAGGAGTGAATTTATCAGCCTGGTGTTCTATTTCTAATAAGTAGTGGGGTTTTCTTGGTAGCATCGTAAAATTATGTTTTACAATATTAATTATACTTTCCATAACTCACTGTGCCAGAAACTAGGTAGTATAGGAAAAACTCCACAATATTTTTTCTCTACAATAGTCTAGTCACAGAATACTTCACTTCTGGTCACTAAAGGTGTAAAGGGATTTTTCCCCACATCCATCAGTTCTCCGACATCAGTTGGGTATCCAACCATTTAACTTAATTCTGACACTATCTATCTAGAGACAGAATTAGATGCCACAGGTTAGGGTCCTATGAAATTAGCCCCCCACTTCAGATGTCAGTCACAAGTCACTTGTGCTTCTAAATGACAGGTGTATAAGTTGGAAGATTCCAGAACGTCTTCCTTGGGTTTGATAATTTGCTACAGTTGTTCACAGAACTCAGGAAACAGTTTACTTGTTATAAAAAGATACAACTCAGGAAGAGCCATATGGAAGAGATTTATGGAGCAAGGTATGTGGAAAGGGGCACTGAGTTCCACGGCTTCTCCACGCACAGCACGCTTCCAGCACCTCCACATGTTTATCCAGCCCAGAAGCTCTCCAAACCTCTT